TAATTAAAGGAATACAGAGCTATGACTTGAGAAGTGTGTGTTTGAGCGGGAAGGTTGAAAGGGAAGTGATCATAGAAGAAAAGCAGAGAGATATATGTCACAAAATCAAGCCACATGTTGTTTATAGATTGAGCATTGTAAAATGACATCGCCAGCGCACGACAAGGACATACCGGTATCTGTGAAATCATCGTCATCATCGTCGCTCTCGAGGAGGACACCGTTTTTGGGATGTTGGGTGGGCTTCTGAGTGAAGTGCTCGTCCTCGACTTCTTGTAGCTTAACCATTGTGGAATATATATTACACGAGATAAATTAAATATAAAACAAAGAAAAGAAGTATTTGAGGAAAAGATGGCGAATGTAGACTCGGGTATTAGGGGATATAATGGTCGTTATCGTCAAGGTTGAAGCAAATGGATTGAAGATCTCGTGCTCTGCAGTTTGATCCAACTCGAATTTTTTATTTTCTTGCAGAAAAGCCGAGTAAATAAAAGCGGCGTCATACTCCCCCAAAGCCGGTTAGCGTTATTTTTGCAGTCTCCCCTTGTGCCTTGGATGGAATTTGGAATTCGACTTTTCCAGCATGAACATTCTGCGCAAGAGGGATTTGTCTTGGTAAACTCCGTACATAGTAGGCTGTTTCTTGCCGTTGAAGCTAGCTGGTGAATCACAGTTGCGAATCGCTGCCTGTTTTGCGGGGAGAATCTCCAGTCTCCCAACGACACACAGGCAGGAGGATGCATGGTGTCCAGCAATAATATAAAGACACACACTGGTGCGTGCTGTACTGAGCAGATCTCCTGAGCAGGAGAAGTAGGCTTTGTGTTTCGGTTAGATGCGCCAGACTTTACAAAACCGTATCCGACGGGAGCCAGATCTGTGCAGGGAGTATATCTATATCTATCATCCTTGATTGGAAAAAAATAATACGGCTATGGAATATCGCGGACGTTGCAATTTGTTGAGCATAAACCCCTCTCCCCAACAACAAGTAGTTTTCTATTTTCCGCACGAGTGATTCTGGCCCAACTGTTCCGAGCTGGCTCATGGCTCAATGCCCATGGGTAGCTGCGGCCGCTGCTGGGGGTGCCCTGACTAAGCAGGGATGTCGCCAGTGCTGGGCCGCAAGGATAGCTCTGGCTGTGCTCCGATATGTCTGTCTGTCTGTCTATACAATTTTCCGCAATCCCTGACGGCCACCCGGCTGCGAAGAATCATAATAAGGGCTTGGCTAAAGGCGGCATCTTCTGTATATTATTGCGGAATCCTTCCACTGCTAGATATGCCCTCTGCTGCCATCCAAATTCCTTCTTTATTCGAGCCCACATCCATAGTATAACAAATAAAATGACATCTCTAGACAATCCCGTCACCAATGGAGATGCCACTGCGGTCAAAAGACTCTGGCAGCCTTCGTTCCCCGAGAACACTAGAATTCACAAGTTCATGTCCCTCGTGAGTCAGAAGAATGGCCGACAGCTGAACAGCTATCACGATCTTTGGGAGTGGAGCATCTCCGAGCCTTCAGCCTTCTGGGAGGAAATATGGTACTTCACCGGCGTCAAGGCGCAGAAATCTTATGATAAGGTGTATATACATGCCGTATTATCCATATCATTCACGTTATCTCTTCAATTGGCATTTTATATATCCCCCTCAACCCCTTCTCCCCCCCACCAAACCAAACAATTCCGCATTCTTCAATTTGCTAACCTACCCCGCCATCCATCTCTCAGGTTCTAGATAAGGGCACTCCCCTCTTCCCTAAACCAGTATTTTTCAAAGGAAGCCTCCTTAATTTTGCCGAAAACCTCCTCTTCCCCGCAAGCAACCCTGGTGAAAACTCCGTCGCCATCATTGCCGCTACCGAATCCACTCGAGAGCACATATCGTGGAAGGATCTTCGAGCGCGGGTACACCGCTGTGCTTTGTCGCTACGAGAAGCGGGCGTAGTCAAGGGGGACCGTGTCGCTGGCTTTGTGGGCAATCATGCAAACACCGTCATTGCCATGCTGGCCGCCACCTCCATAGGCGCCCTGTGGAGTTCTGTTTCAACTGATACGGGTGTGAATGCCGTGCTGGAACGGCTGCGTCAGATCGAGCCGGTGGTTCTCTTCGTTGACAATGCGTCCCCCTATAATGGAAAGGTTCATCCGACACACGCCAAGGTTGTCGAGTTAACGGCAAGCCTTGACTCGTTGCGTTACGTCGTGGTCTTCGATGCGGTGCAAGGGTATGGGTTTGATGTGGAATTGGTCAAGTTGTCAAATGGCAGATGCATGACTTTCTCTGATTTCTTGGCTACTTTGTCGGCAAACAGCTCGTCCGCGACGCTGCAATTCGAACCCCTCCCACCTGACCACCCTGTTTATATCCTTTATTCGTCAGGTACAACCGGTGCCCCCAAGCCAATTGTCCATGGTGCCCTGGGCACACTCATACAGCACAAGAAAGAGCATGCGCTACATGGTGACATCGGGCCTGGCGATCGGCTGTTCTACTTCACGACCACAACCTGGATGATGTGGCACTGGCTTGTTTCCGCTCTGGCCAGTGGCGCAAGCATCGTGGTTTACGACGGCTCTCCATTCCGGCCCTTGGACCCAGAAGATGGAAAGGGCGATATGGCCATGCCTCGTCTCATCGATGAATTACACATAACCCACTTCGGTACATCCGCAAAGTACCTCTCAATCCTAGAACAGTCCGCGCTAAACCCAACAAAACATCCCCATAGACCCGTCCAACTGCGAACCCTGAAAGCAATCTTTAGCACGGGCTCTCCACTCGCCCCATCGACATTCGACTACGTGTATTCCTCCATCCACCCAGATATAATGCTCGGTTCCATCACAGGAGGCACGGACATCATCTCCCTCTTCGGTGCATCCTGCCCCATCCTCCCTGTCCACCGCGGAGAAATCCAATGTCGCGGCCTAGGCATGGCCGTATCCATCTTCGATTACGCCGGACGAGACATTAGCGCCACCGACGACGCGGGCGACCTCGTATGCACGGTGCCCTTTCCAGCCCAACCCGTCATGTTCTGGCCACCGGGGCCGATAGGCGAGGAGAAGTATCGCAAGAGCTACTTCGAGCACTTCGGGCCGTCGATATGGCATCACGGCGACTTCGTGAAACTCAACAGCAAGACAGGCGGGATGGAGATGCTGGGCCGCAGCGACGGGGTGCTCAAGCCAGCCGGCGTCCGGTTCGGCAGCGCGGAGATTTACAATGTCATCCTGAAGCATTTTGCGAATGAGGTTGAGGATTCACTGTGTATTGGCCGGCGGCGGAATGGGATTGAGAACGACGAGACGGTCGTGCTCTTTGTGAAATTGGCCGCCAGGGACAAGTCTGCGTCTTCATCTGCATCTGCTTCTACCTCTGCATCTGTTTCCTCATCCATATCCACGTCCACATCCGCATCCTCGTCAACGGTGTCAATAGCCAACAACGGCTGCGTAAAGGACCTGATGACCACCGCCAACGACAATGACGCGTTGCTCATGCCGCCCGATCTTGTCAGCCGCATACAGGCTACCATTCGCAAGGAACTCAGCGCGCGCCATGTCCCGACGATCATAGTCGCGTGTCCGGAGATTCCAGTCACGACGAATGGCAAGAAGGTTGAGAATGCGGTGAAACAGATTCTTTGTGGGTTAAATATTAAAACTGGAGCAAGCGTGGCTAATGCGGGGTGTTTGGAGTGGTACCGGAGGTGGGCGGCGGAGAATTGAAGGTGGGGTGTAAATTACTTTTTTATTTTTATTTTTTTTTATTTTTATTTTTATTTTTTTTGGGTTTTATTGTTTTTGTATTTTCTATTATTTCTTTCTTCAATCTTCGTTATATATATATATATATATACTAGTTTCTTGGATGTTGAAAATGCGTTTTTGGAAAAGGGGGGCGGACGTTTTCCCTCTATAGAAAAAAGTTATTCTTGTCAGAACCCATATTATATTAGCGTTATTGGCTATTAGCTGCTGACCACTATATCTCTCTCTGTGTATCTATGATCTTATTGTAGTCAACGATTACCCATGAGTATATTACTTCTCAACTTCCTCCAGATCAAGAGAAATCACTCCTCCTGTTCCCTACGCAAGCAACCGCCTGCTGACTCATCCCAATTCTGCCCAAAGCGGTCAGTCAACTATCTCCAGGTTTTTTTCTCTACACATCATTTCCGCCGATCAAACTAGCATACGAAGCGATACAGCCTGGCTTCCAGCAACAAAAGAGGATATCATGCGTCGTTTAGTAACCAGGGCCGCTACGCCGGCCAGGTACCTCAAACGAGCACCACACTCGCTTTCAAGGACCTTTTCCTCACACATAGAAACACAAGCTAAGGTGTGTTCTATCCATTTACATGACTTCTGGGAAGGCCACTCCCTCCGCATAACAATAGCAGCAACATGCAATCACTTGAGTAAAGCCGAGGAAAAAGAAAAATTATCTAATAAATGCCACTATTCCAGGACCCCGCCGAACTCGACCAAGTAACAGAACTCTCCAATGGCCTTCGGGTTGCCACGGAGTCCCTCCCCGGCCCTTTCGCCGGTGTGGGCGTATACCTCGATGCAGGCTCACGGTACGAGAACGACAGCCTCCGCGGCGTCAGCCACATCATCGACAGGCTAGCCTTCAAATCGACATCGAAGCGGACGGGCGACCAGATGGTTGAGTCTCTCGAGAGGCTCGGGGGGAACATCCAATGCGCGTCAGCACGCGAGTGTATCATGTATCAGTCCACCAGCTTCAACTCGGCTGTGCCGACCACGCTGGCACTGCTGGCGGAGACGATCCGGGACCCCCTGATCACGGACGAGGAGGTGCAGCAGCAGCTGGAGGTGGCGGAGTATGAGATCACTGATCTCTGGGCGAAGCCTGAGGTCATCCTGCCGGAGCTGGTGAATATTGCGGCATACCGGAATAATACCCTAGGGAATCCGTGG